AAAAAAAAAAAAAAAAAAAAATGAAGGAAGACTGTGAGTACTGTTTACTAAATGCCAGTTCTGCTATTTATTGGGTTCTGTATTATACAAGTTAGCCAAGAACAAAACAGTCATCTCACAATAAACAAATAATAAATATGATGATTCAGGCATCTACAGACATTCCCCACATTAAAGATTACCACTGTCTTGCTCTTTTGTTAGGTTACCCAATTCTCTCCACACCCCATCCCCCCATACTCCTCAACAAAACATAATATTTAATAACTTAACTGATACGAGTTAAAATTTATTTCTGAGGGGAGAGAGATACGGCCCAAACATGAAAATCAGTGAGGTGCTGTACCATCTATGGCCTTAATGTGGTCAGAAGTTTTTGCTGAACCTCCTTACTTAAAAGTTTAGCCTCAAGTTGATTCCCACCTTGACATAATTTCCATTGATATAATCAGATCCTGGTACTCCAGCCAATGTTGGCAGGATAATACGATTATGATCAACTGCAAAATTAAATTGTAACATTTTGTATTAAGTGGAAGGAATTACCAGTAAACATGATACCTGTCAAAGCATCACTTGAGATATAGATTATCTAATTACTGCTAATTTCCAGAAGGTTCTTCTGTTGTGTTACAAGAAATAGCCAAATCCACGGTGCTACCAATTATTTAATAGTTTTATTGTATGCAGGTAGTTGAAATGATGCAATAAAAATCATCAAAATCACATGCGAGCAGTGAAACCATGCATAATTTTTTTTTTGTCTATCTTTTCCAGACACCAAATTGTATGGAACACAGGACCAGGTTGCTCAGAAGTCAGTTAATGCAAACCAAGGATTAAAAGCTAAATGTAACCAGAAATTAATTTTTATTGGATAATATTTTTATACTCCTTATTTATGGTATGTTTTGTGTTGTTTGAGATTATTCAAACTTTGAAAAACCTGGCCATGGGGTTTAGAGAATGAAAAAACTGGTCAGTGGGTCCAATACAGAGTACTGTAGCCTGCAAGAGCATCATCTGGTTTGTTTGTTTATTTGCTTGTTTGTTTGTTTGTTTGTTTGGCTCTTGTTTCAATCATTCAAAAACCAGATGCTTTTTGCAGGCCACCAATAAACAATTCCACTAACAGTACTTATTAGTCTGACCATCAACAAGTCATTAAAAACCAAGAAATATAATTAATACTTACAAGGCATAATGTCTTTGTATCGGTTTTTAGGCCGATTGTACTCAAGTTCTCCATGATGCGTAACATATTCTGGATTTCTTTTTAACTTGGAGGACATATCTTTTAATTGCTACAAAAGAATAAAAACAAGCATTTCCGCTATTAATCAAATCATCTCACTTACTTACAATAGATATCATGCCATGTTAAGAACAATCTCTTCTCCCGCCAACATCACAAGCAGGTCTTTTCACAAAATAGTGAAATCTAATTCATTGAATATATCTAAGTGGGCAGCTTCAATTGCCATAATGCACATGACAGGAGATCACTGCAAAATCATCTAAATGATACCGTCCAGGCCACATGTCAACAACTGTGATCATTAGTCACTAAGTGGAATCAGATTTGGAGTATCCGGCAAACCAGACAAAATTTTTTGAAATTTTTTAGCATAGTCTATTTCAAGCTAGAATGTCATTGGTTATGCCAGTTACAAGATCGCAGAATAAGAATTACGGTCAAACATGAATACGAGCCCATTAAATATTAACATATTAGCTACTTGAGCACTGCACGCTTATCTTACAAAAGGAAACAAATCACTTGATGTAACATTTGATACACTTCAACTATTAACATAATAAAGTTCAACAACAATTTCATTTTTGTACGATTTCAAGAAATGGTCATCTTAGCCCTTGGCGATCTTTTAAGATGAAATTTGACTTCACGTTAATAAATTTAAATTTGTTTATGATCAATCTTCTTACTTATAAGCTGAGTAAGTTATTGTATGAAAACCATATTGAGGCAAACGTTCAACATTTCATTTCAACTGATCTCTGTGTCGCAGCTATCTACAGATATCAAAGAGATAGTGAAACGAACGGATGACCACATAAGGTTCTGTTCATTACCTCGGCTTAACGAATAATCGATTTAGCTCGGACATCGCGGAAAAAACTTTATAGATAACAGACTTATCGATATTTCGGTTTTGATCGTTTCAGCTTCGATCCTTGCGTTGAATTTTTCGATGTTAGTCAAGATTGAAGTGGTTTTGGAACAAGCAGTTCTTGCTATCCGCTCTGTTCAATGACATTTAGCAATCTGGATAAGAAATAAAATACCTGAAATTCTTTGGAAAACCCATTTTCTCGACGAGGGTTATTGGCGGGATGCAAACCCTGAGCATGACGAAGGAAAGCTTGAAGACCCTCTGGTATACTCGGAGAAGTCATTGTGATCACAAAATGAGCTTAGCTGATCAATATTTTGCGTACATCGTCACTTCACCGTCGTGAAATCTTCAAATGTCACGAG